TGCTGAGCAGCCGTGTGTCACCCTGGTCATGAGACCTTTGTTTCCCCTGATGACACCAGGGCCACTTGAGGAACTGCTCAGCTGAAGGCCTCTGCCCTGGGTGACACATTGGATATTTGGTAAATAAGTAAATCAGACCTTTTGAGCTAAGGACCCTCTAGTAACTCCTGCTTAATTTTTAATCAAGTTCAAGACCCTGGCAGTAGCCCCTTCCCACCTCCCCTGTCTACCCACGCCCTCAGCCCCACAAACTGCCTGCCCCTTGCTGGCCACTGCCCCGTTATGGGTCAGCTCCAGGCCTCTGTTCCAGTAGCCTCTGGGGGTCGCCCTCCTGAGCCCTCCCTGTTACCATGGATGGTACCCTTCCTTGTGGCTTCCTTGAGTAGGCACTGGGTTCTGTGGTTCCATTCTTCCTCGTGTCCATAAGGTGCTGGTTCAGGGTCCTCATTGAAGATGATGTGGATTCAAGATCATGTGCCCTGGGGTGCAGTTGTAACCAGCCAGCACTGCCCTCAGGGAGCTTTAACTGGGGATGGGGCTGAAGGACTGGAGATGGCTACGGACAGTGGACGGGAACATGTGCATGTGTGTGTAGAGAACAAGGGGTGCTATCTTATATGGGGTGAGCGAGAACTGTTTTCTGATTAATGGCTTTATTTATTGTTCATTTCCCATTGGTGGTTGTAGTCCCACAAAGGCAGACATTCTGTCCCTTTTGTTCTTCTTTGCACACCCTGTGCTGAGAGGATACCCGGTACCTGGGTGGTGTCAATGCAATGGTGAAATGAGAAATGATTGAGTGTTCTTAATGGGAGAAGGGAGTGCAGTTGTTCAGTGGTTGTTGGCTGTGCTGTGTGTCAGGGACAAGGTGGGAACCCTGGAACCTGCTCCAGACACTGGGGCAGAGTGGGAGTGATGGGAGGCAGCTGATTATATCAGTGATGGTGGCGATTGTGGTGACAGTGGTCATGGAGATGGTGGTGATGGTTGTGATGATGGTGGTGATGGTGGTTGTGGTGATGATGGTTGTGTTGGTGGTGGTGATGGTGGTGACGGTGACGGTGAACGTGGTGATAGTGGTACTGGTGGTGGTGATGATGGTGGTGGTGATGGTGGTGATCATGGTGGTGGTGATGTTGTTGGTGGTGATGGTGGTGATGATGATGTTAGTGGTGATCATGGTAGTGGTGATAGTGGTGATCATGGTGGTAGTGATGGTGGTGATGATGATGTCAGTGGTGATCATGGTGGTGGTGATGATGGTGGTGATGATAGTGGTGATCATGGTGGTGGTGATGGTGGTGATGATGATGGTGGTGGTATGATATTGGTGGTGATCATGGTGGTGATGATGGTGGTGATCATGGTGATGGTGGTGATCATGGTGATGGTGGTGATCATGGTGGTGGTGTGGTAGTGATGGTGGTGATGTTGTTGTTGGTGGTGATGGTGGTGGTGATGGTGATGATGGTGGTGGTGATGGTGGTGATGATGGTGATGATGGTGGTGGTGATGGTGATGATGGTGGTGGTGATGTTAGTGGTGGTCATGGTGGTGGTGATGGTGGTGATGATGTTAGTGGTGGTGGTGGTGATCATGGTGGTGATAATGATGGTGATGATGATGTTACACTGGTTTGCGTAGGCACAAGATCAATGTTAATGCCCCATAATGATGATGATCAAGGGGCAGCAGAGCAAGAGAACTGTACAGGTTTAGCAATTAATTTGCATTTTGTTCTAAATGAAAAAGGAAGCTCCAAGGGAGGAGAGTGAGCAGGAAAGGGCAGGATCAGATCCTATTTCTAAGGATCAGATCGTGGGGAGACACGTGAGTGGCCAGGGAGGTATCTGGGACAGGTGCTGGTGGCTAGACCAGGCTGTGGCAGTCAAGGTGGCAAACAGAGCTGGGCTCAGGTCTAATTTGTACTTTATGTGCTGCTCTTTTTTACTTTGGCTACTAGGGGGCTCAGGCCACACATGTGCCCTTCTCTGGAGCACACATGCTGTCTATTGAGAGTTCTCCTGGTGCTGTTGCCTGGTCCAGAGCCCCCTTCCTTCAGCATCCCTCCAGCTTTCCCTTCATCTTGCTTCTTTGTGTACATTTCTGGGGACACCGCCGATCCTCTGTGGAGGGAGGTGAGGTGTAAATACAGTGATGGTAGTGCCCCCATCTCTTATGGTCATCTCTGGAGAGCTTCATCTTTATCTTTAATGAGCCTGTGGTCTCGTGGAGATCTGTCCTTTGCTTTCCCTGTTATGCCAAGAAATCTTCAGGACGGCCAGCTTTCCCGGACCATGTGGACTATTGGTTCTGCTCCCATCTGGCGTCTGTAGGTGGAGGAGGAAAGGCGAGGATAAGAATACGGAATAAATTGCCTCTGGGAAGAAAGGACCCATCTGTATCCTGCACTCATGGACTGTGGCCTTAGGGAAATGATGGCCAATGGATATGTGGTCAGTGGCCTGCAGCTTCCGTGACTCATGGCAATTTCTAGGCTCCTACTGGATGCCAGGCGCTGACCGTTGGGACAATCTCAAGATCACAGCAGAGTATGTCATTGTCCTGCCTTCCCTGATGGTTGCCGAGCCACAGGGAGGAGTCTTCAAACAAGACAGCCCCGCACTCCTCTGAGGAGACTGACCCTCCACCTGGGGCCACTTTGTGGACTGTCTGTGGACACAGCACTCACACAGTTAGCGCTCAGTTCCTCTTGGCTGGGGAGGGAGGACAGCCACACGCCCTGACTGCCCTGGGTTGGCCCTGAGTTATTCTTTTTGTCTTGCTGTCCCATCCCGGTGTGCCCTTCATGACCGAGGACTGTGAGGGGGTCTCTGGTCAGCATGCTCAGTCCTGCCCACCCTGTGGCTGACCAGATGGCTAGCTGCTCCGGACCTCTGCTCATCTGTAAAGTAGATATAAAAAATAATGGTGTCAAGTGCATGGATTTACTGTGAGGATCATGTAAGGTGGTGGGTGCTTTGGGACAGTCCTGGCCTGCACAAGTAGTGACAACTCTCACTCTGTAATTGCTATTAATTACATAACACAATTTACTATAGTGAAAATGTCTACCCAGTGTCACCCACGCTGCCATGGTATGCTAATCAGACAATGTGATTGTGTGTGGATTGCAACATGCTATCTGTGTGTTGTGTCTCCGGAATATATGGCCACCCTATGGCCACAGGGGTGATCAGATGTAGAAATGAGGTGATAGGGGCTGAGGGGCTGCCCAGAGGCCCTGGGCTGGTAACAGCTGCAGCCTTGTAGACATCAGACCCGAGGGAAGCTCCAGGGGTAGGTGGGTGGGACGACTGGGATGCCCAGGGTGTTGCCCTGTGTCTGAAGGCCGCAGCACAGCCACACGTGGTAATGACCCCTTTGGAGCAGTGGTGGCACAGAGAGACCTCAAGTGGGAAACCGGCTCTCCACATCCTGCGTGGGCCTGAGGGGGCTGGCCTGGCCTTTGGACACTGGTAACCTCCTGCTACCCATGAGTTATCCGTTAACATCTCACTCTGGCCTTTCCCCAGCATGTCCAAGGCTCTCTGGGGATCTTGGGTGTGTGAACTCAGGGATCCCAGCCTCCTCTGCGCATGTGGCAGTGAGGTGACTTAGCCTACTGGGTGTGGGAATGACCCTGTGCTGGCCGTGGGAGGCTCAGGGATGGAGTGTACATATATGCGGGGCAGGGGGAGGGCCTGCAATCCTGATCAAGGTTGGGCTCCAGTGCCAGCAGCCAAGCTGGGGACACCACAGGTCTGTGACCTTCCACCTGTGTGACACTGAGAGGTAAAATTGTAAAAGCCCCGGAGGGACTCGGGTCTGTCACTGCTGGAAGAAGCATCCCTTCCCTGTCTCAGGAGGGGCCTGGGGCACCTTGGGCCTTCATCTGTGGTCCTGTCACAGTGATGGCTGAACCCTGGTCCATAGGGTGATCGTGGAACAGAGCTGCAGGGTGAGGATGGGAGTGACACTGCCCTTCTCCCTGTGGGTCTCCAACGTTACCACTGTTTTCCATTCTAACTGCTCTTCATTCTTACAAAGTAATAACCCTCCACAGGCCTGCAACATGGCCGGTGGAGAAGTACCTGTCCCCTCCCTCCCGGGACCTGACAGCCAGCCCTCCCCATTTCCGTAGGTCCACAGCCGTGCTCTCTGCACACCCCAGCATGGGCCGGGCACAGCCCCTTCACGCCTCGGGCGCATGTGGCTCATGACTTTGCACACTGTTGTGGGTTGTTTTGACCTAGCCTTTACCCCGGATCAGTCTCCTTTCAGAGCACACAGATCTGTTTTATTCTTTCCCACGTCTGCACACAGGTTGTTGAGAGGGTGGACAGTTGCTTGGCCAGTCTCCTACTGGCGGGCGTGTGGGTTGCTACCAGGCTCTCTTGACAAACAACACGCCCTGAGCCTCCTGGGATATCAGTCTTCATGCATACCAGAGTCTACACCCAGAGCCTGGCTCCCAGAGCCAGGGGGGCTGCTCCCCTTTGTGTGTTCATGGACTGGCTTATTTGGCAGCCCTGCATGGCCTGTGTAAGACAAGGGACTGAGCCTGTCAGGGACAGGAGGAATGTGCTGACTTCCCAGAGTACGGAGCATTTAGCTGAGGAGCTGAGATTTATGAGGCAAAGAAGCAGCTGGAAGGGGAACAAGCATGGGTGGGATCAAAGCATGAGCCAAGGTCCTGGGGCAGGGATTAGAGAAGCCCTCAGATCTCCATCATGGAAGCCCAGAAGGAGCATTGTGGGCGACTTCCAGTAGACTGCGGGAGGGAGGGGGCTCCATGGGAGGTGAGTGGAGCACTCAGACCCCTGAGTGCATGGCCCCTGAGGGTGCACCCTGGTCAGAGGGAGCCCCCAAGGGTTTCCATTGCTCTAATAGCCCTCTTGGGCCCGAGGCTGTGAGGAATCACCGTGGCTCTTCAGGAGTCTCACAAGCTTGATGGTCACATGATGACCTTTGTTTTGGTCTTGACTTTGGTCTTCCAGATGAGATGGACCAAACTCCCCCAGTGCGTTCCGAGTATCTGGTCTCAGGGATTCGAACTCCCCCTGTGAGGAGGAACAGCAAACTGGCCACCCTGGGCAGGATCTTCAAACCCTGGAAATGGAGGAAAAAGAAAAACGAAAAACTGAAGCAGACCACGTCAGGTAAGCCACTGGTGACAGCAGACAGCAGGCAGCAGGCTCTGCCCAGGAACTGGTGTCATTGTCACGGCATCACAGTGCTGTGGCCTCTGCTGGTCTGTGTCATTCCAGCCTCACATGGGGGAGGCAGAATGCACTCTGTAGCCCTTTCTGGCCACCCTTCTGCATTGGCCACTATAAGTCCCACCTGGCCTTTCTAGGCCCTGGCATCCATGTGGGACCCAGGGCCCAGACTCCAAAAGGCCCAGACTTTATTAAAGGCACAGACCACAATTTAGAACAGGGCTGGGGCCAAGACACAGGCTTTGGAGCAGATTCATTTGCTAACCTGACCACACCAGGTAACCAGCAGCGGGCCCACCAAGCCTCCCTGCCATACCTGGAGTCTCACTCTGAGCATGCAAGGGCCCTGGTCTCATCTCACAGGTTCCAGCTGAGTTGGTTGTCTTGGGACCTGGATCTTGCCTCCTACTGTGTGCTGGGCACTGTGTCAGCCACAGGAGATATAGCTATGAGCAAACAGTCACAGTCTCTGCCTGAGGCCGGCACATCTGGGGAGGACTGGGGACAAGGCCTACAAATGGCAAGTGGGATAAATTGGAACCAGAGGGCGCTGGGCAGGGGTCATCTGGGTCTGGTCCTGGACCACTGTTTCCAAGAGCCCCATGGTGGCCTTGACACCTGAGGCCTTTGCTCACTGGCAGGCAGAGCCAGCCTGCTGCCCGCTCCCATAATCTACCTTGGTGCCCTTGTCCCCACACCCTCCCACACAAGGACCCAGAAGCACCCCCACCCCCAACTTCAGTTGTGTCCTCACTCCTCACCTGTCCCAGCTCTGTGGGAAGTTGGGTGGACTGGATGGGGGGTACCGCTGTCCCTGCCTCCTCAGAACTGTGACCATGAGTCTGAGCCTCAGACGGGCTCACACTGCCAGGCCACACTCTGCCAGGACACGTTCTCCATCCTGCACATCTCAGGGATGGGAAATATGCTCAGAGAGGGGGAGTCACCCACCTGAGGTCACACAGCCAGCCGGCGGAAGCCTGGGCCTGGGACCCGGCCAGTGGACTTGGCCCTGGCCCGACCCCCTGGGCTCTGTGATCAGCAGCAACTTGAGGCACAAACCTTGAAGAAGACGGTATCTCATCCACACCTAGTAGCCGACCCTGAAAACAATTAGCAAGGAGCTGCTCCTGTGGAGTTAGCCTTGGGCCTTGGGGACCAGCCCCGGTAAGTGGCTTCCCCCAGCAGCAGGTCCTCAATTCATACTTTTTTCATCCTTTACAAAAGTATTTTCTTTAACCATTCAAGGAGTGGATTGACAAATTCTCCGTGTCAAAGCAAAAACAAAACAATTATCATTAATCAGCAAATCTTGTGCAGCTCTTATGTGCCCGCCCTGAGGGCACAGGAGGTTCCGGGCCTGGCCCACCCCCAAGCTTTCCACATGGGGAGCTGGGTGACACAGTGAGCAGGTGACTAAACTTGTGAGTCAGCCACGGACTCCAGTGGGGGCTGCAGAGAGTCCAAGCAGGCCCTGGGGAGGAGGGAGGCAGGGCTGGGTGTTGCTTTGGGTTGGGTGGTCTGGGGAGACACAGGTGAGGCAGCCACATGGAGCCCAGATGTAATTGGAAAGTCAGGGAAAGCGTCACCGCAGTGGGAACAGCTCTTGCAGAGACAAAGCTATGCATCTGTGAAGGCTCAGGGGGCTGGAGCGGGAGACCTCTGTGACTGTGGGTGGCACTCTTCAGGCTCACAGTCCCCAGCTATGGAACTGGAAGGTCCAGCTTTGTCCTCTGAGGACTCTGGACCCTCGCTGCCCTCCATGCTGTGCCTTGAAAGTTCACCAGGATGCTTTGGGGACCATAAGGTCACAGAGGGTCTTGAGGTTAACACCTGCACTGTCCCCACCTTCAGCTCCCTCACTCAGCCCTCTGGAAATCTGGGGAGCAGCCCTGCATTGTGTTACTTTCCCCTGGAAGTGTGGGTGTTACAGATGGGAGCATTTCAAACCCCTGATTTCACAGGCCTTGTCGGCCAGGACAAGGTAGAGAGAGAACACGGAGCAGCAGTGGTGGGGTTGGCGGGGACCAGGGACACGCGGCAGACAGTTCCTGGAGGCTTCAGAGTTGGGGGAAGTGGCCTCTTGGTAGCTGCCTTGGCAGGGGCTGGTTCCAGCTCATCCGCTGACCAGCTGCCCTGCCTGTAGAGGACTGACACCCTGGCCCCTGAAAGGGGACAGTAAACCCCTGTGGCCGAATTTCTGGGTTACTGGGAGGACCTGGAGTCAGTGCAGGCAGAGTCCCACATCTGTGTCTGCCCCCGCCCCGCACTCAGGGCCCACTCAGTTCCTCAGAGCTTCACCCTGTTCTCTTGCCTTGTTCCATTGGCTGGGCCAGAAACTCCTTCCTGACACCTCCCAAAGGCAACGTTCAATTTGTACGTTTTATCCACAGTTCTGGCACCTGAAAATTGGTTTGGAAATTGGGATTACAGAAAGGAAATTACACTCTCTTTGCCCAAAAGCGCCTTCACCCTGCTATGTTTGGGTTTCCTATTGATCCTCAGCTCTAGGGTAAACCTCTTCAGGGCAGCTGTCCTGGAGGTCCGGGACGGGCTGGGTCCCCCAGACAAACCCCTGCCCGGGCACCTTCCCGTTGTGATTTATCCTCTCACCATTTGTGGAGCTTGTCCTCTGTCCTCCCCAGATGTACTGGCCTCGGGCAGAGGCCCTGCCCATCTTGCTCACAGTTGTATCCCTGTGGCTGACACAGTGCCTGGCACACAGTAGCTGCTCAATGAATGTGTGGCCAGATTCCATCGATTGGCTACCCCATTGTCATGGCCTGCTCCCAGTCACCACACACCACGAAGGTGGGGGCTGCATTGGTTTTATTCCCTGGTGGCTCCCCAGTACCCAGCACATAGTAGGTGTTCAGCAAACACTTGAGAATCAGGGAAATAATTCCATCCACTGCCTGCTTGTCATCTGCCTCCTCTGCTAGACATGGACCCCCCCACAGATGACCTGGCTTGGGACACAGAGTTTGCACATGCAGAGAACTAGTGGGCCCCTGGTGACCCAGCCTTGATAGCAGGCATCTTGTCTGAATCTTTCAAAGAAAGAGTACAGGTGATTTCGTAGTCTCATATTTGAAAATTAGGGCTCACCTGGAGGCAGCTAGTTTTCTGGACAGTTGGAGAAAAGGAGGTGCTTGTGAGGCCAGAGGTCTCCCCAGGAGGAAAGTGAGAAGTGGGGAGGGCGAGGGGCTGAGCGGCCAGAGTGCTTTGTTCTGGGATGGGGAGGCAGGAGGGGCTATTCTGTGGGAGGAATTGACAAGATTTGCCAAATTGGGGCTGGTGGAAGGGGTGTGGGGAGCGGCCTCCTCCCTCCTTGTTCATCTGGTGGACTCTTTGAAATCTGTTAACTGGTGGTTTATTAGAAGAAGCTCCAGTGGGAGAGTCTCACGAAAGACTCCGGGCTGTGAACAGGTCCTGGTCGTGGTCAGGGCGCATTTAGCAAAGGCTGACCCAGACCACAGAATAGCACCCGAGGGTGCTGGGGCAGGGAGAGGCTGAGTTTCTTGGCTGATAAGTGAAGGAGCATTTGGCACACGGTGGAAAGGTGCTGTTCAGATAAACCTCAGCAGTGACAGCCTTGAGAAATCCACGATGCTCCCATCGCTGTGCTGTCCACACGTTGCTGGGAAGATGGCTTAGTGAGAAACTTTGGAATTGCTGGGCAGATTTTGCCCTCCCGCTCCCAGTGCACCAGGCCCCTCACCCTGGGTCACCTGCCACCCCACTTCTGTGGTTGTTTCACCAAAGTTGTTTCACTGACTGTGGCCTGGACAGGGGCCCAGCTGTATCTTGACTGGGACTCACCCTGCTGTTTGTGTTGCAGCGCTGGAGAAGAAGATGGCCGGCAGGCAGGGCCGCGAGGAGCTCATCAAGAAGGGGCTGCTGGAGATGATGGAGCAAGGTCAGTGCCACCTGCCCCGGCACGCGTGCAGGGCCCAGTGTCTCATGGGAGCCCAAGACGCCCCTCTGAGACAGGTGGGATCAGAGCGATCCACTGTCTAGATGTGGCAGCTGAACCCAAATGAGGACCACAAGCTGGCCTGCAAGGGCGCTCACCACCCAGGGATGGGGACCCCAAGAAGGTGGGTGGGGAGAGAGGGCCTAGGTCCAGGGACGCCTCCCATCCTCCCTGCCCCATAAGCCAGCTGGGGAGGCAGATGCTTGTCGGGCTGCCATGGGAGCCCAAGGCCACCCCAGACTGAATGGAGCAGGGGTCTGCAGTGAACCAGGTGTCTCTGGAGGGAGACTGAAGGCAGCAGGCCTTGCCTCCGAGGGAGCCCTCTCGTCACTGTCTACTTTCCTGCTGCGTCACCCCTGTGCTGTGTCACCTATTAGAAGTGTGCAGTAATAATATAATACACAGGCACCTGGGGGTACACCTGCTGCATGCTTGCTTACAAAGTGCCTTTTCTTCTGGGGCAAAGACCGTAATTCCTCCTGGTGCAGGGCTCCCCGACACTCAGGTGGGCTAGGTGGAATTATTGGCCACAGGTGGTACAGCTGCCCCTGCCCAGCTCAGGACAAGTCCAGGATCCCTGCCCAGAAGAGGAGAGTGAGGACCACGCTCAGGAGGGGACGCAATGTGCCCCCTTCCAGGATGGGGCGATGGGTTTCCCTGAGTTTGGGAGAGGAAGTTGGCTGAGCCACCTGCTTCTGCTGCCCACAGTGTGGGGACGATTCTGCAGCCAGGGGTGCCCCCATGTGGTAGCTGCCTGCACTGTGGCCTTCAGGTGGGACAGGTCCTGAGAGGCTGCCGGGAGGGAGGGTCACAGAGAAGGGATAGAGAGGGGATCACAGTGAGAGTGTCTGTCTAGCCATGGGACCTCCAGAGCTGCCTGGGGTCCTTAACAGCCCCAAACTTACATTTGAACCTCCCTGGCCAGGACAGCTGCCAGGAGTGGCCTCTCCCCTGTACATGCACAAGGATGTCACCACCATGGCATTTGCCTATGACACAGTCACCCTGGCAGGGTGTGGCCTCTGGACACAGGGAGATGGGCTGTGTCTGCATCACCAACTGTGCCCCAGCTTGTGATTTTGTGAAGGAGACTGTGGACAGGTGTGGCACAGGCATCCAGCCACCCTCATGCTGGTTGCAGGACCCAGAAAGCCCCTGTCTGGCCATGTGACAAGGGGAGATGGGAGGGAGGTGACCCCATGTCATCTTCACTGCTCCATCCACCTTCTTCAAACCTCATAACTAAGAGGGGTCAGACCAACGCCTGTGGCATGAGCAGTCCCCTCCCCTGCCCCTCCCTGGTCCCCAGCCCAAAGGCAATGAGTGAGAGGGGCCTGTGTCCCTGTGGAGATGCCGTCTGTGTTCCCAAATCACTTGCCTTCACCCCCCTGTGTCTTCCTGTACTAGTTGACTTGGCATTTTCTTAAATAACTTAAGGAACTTCATACCCCAACACTGGATCTAAAAGAAGAGAGTCACTGCCCCTGTGCTGTGCTCTGGACCTAGGCACGCTTTCCTCCGGGAGTCGGACAGGGACGAATCAGGCCTGCCTGGTTTCCGCGTGGTGGGAATGCGGGGGGACGTGTGTGTGTGCTCACGCATGTGCACATATGTGCGCCCACGTGTGCTCACAGGGTGCATGTATGCGCTCTCCCCCGCACGTGTGCACATTCATGTGCGTGTCTGGCATGTCTCCTCTCCCTCGGCTGCTCACTGGCAGCTGACCGAGGGCCGGAGGGAGGCCACGCACAGCGAGAGGCTCAGCCACAGCCCCACCGCTGCCCCGCCCCCACCAGCGTTTCTTAGCAACGCCCTGCCACCAGTGCTATTTTGGGAACTGCAACTTTTCATTGAGCATGATTATGAGCCGGCGCTCTGAGCACAGCCCAGAAAAGTCCTGCACAGGCTGCAGAGCTGCGGGCGCAGGTGGAGGGGCTCTGGGACAGCAGGTGGGCACAGAGCGATTCCTGACTCTGGCTGGAGGCTGGAGACCTCTGGGCCTTCTAGGTTTACTGCTGTTACTGTTACTATTTTTGCAATGATAGTGACGAAGATGTCGTCATTATTACACTAAAAGCAGTGATAGTTATGGCAGCAAAGCACCTGTGCATCCTCTGATCTGCTATCCACCCAGTAAGCGGTGGGCGGCAGCCCCACCTAGTGCCCCGAGTAGGCATGACTGTGGCAGAGCCCTCTTGCTGCCCGGCTGGCTCTCACATTCCCTCTGTGTCCCCAGGGGGCAGGTAAGGTGGCAGTAGAGTTTGTCATAGCTGTGTGAGAGGCACAAGTAAACCAGTCATAAGTCAGGGGCTGAGAAACTTTAGTTTCGGGCTTTGTAACATCTAATTTTGGTTGAGTTCTCTTGGCTCATGTCAGGGTCTGGTGAGCAGGTACTGCCAAGGTAGCCTTTGGCCCAGGCTGTCTTTCTGTGACCTTTGAGCTGAGAGTGCTGGGAATTGAAAGAGATGCTGCAGCACAGGGGATGCAGTATGTCCCCACAGCATCTTAGTGTTGGCCAGGGCTGCTGACGTGGCTGTAGAAAGGAGGACTTTGTAGCTCCACATCCCCAGACTCTCTCCCGAGGGGACAGGAGTGCAGGAGGGGGAATGTGTTGGCAGCGGTGAAAGCTCTAGCCCTCCTAGGGGCACGGAGAAGGTGGGCCAGGCATGGCTGACGTGCAGATGGGGGGTGCTGGCTTCATGCCGGACACGTTCCATACATGAACTCATTTAATTCTCACAATTCCATGAAGCGAGTAGCAACTGTGTCCCCATTTTATAGATGAGGACATTGAGGCCCTGAGAAGCTTACTGTTTAGGCACTAAAAACCGTGTCTGTAGGGCATGGAATACGTGGGCAGGGTGACCATGTCCTTTCTGTCTGAGCAGGACACTATGGCAGTGAGAGGGATACGGAAGGGGTGGAACAATAGGCAGGTGTTGGGACTGATCCTCCAAAGCAGGACCCTGACTCTGAAATAAATCTCTCTGGGAGAGAGCAGGCTAGCGTCCCCACGCTGCACTGTGGCCACATCAGCATGTTGGTCCCGCTGCTACCCTGCATTGTGGCGCCTGCCTCCAGGAGCCCACTTCAGGGACCGAGGGACTATGTGGGGACTCTATGCATTGGTCTGTGACATGTGTCCAGAAGTTGTGGCTGTGGTTGGCTGGCTGAGGCCCTGCAGCTCGGTGCCTGGACGGTTCTTTTGCTCCCCGAGTGCGGAGCTCCCATCATTAAGGTCCAGCCCTGGGGACACTCAACCAAGGGCCAGGCCCCTGGAGACTGCAGAAGCGCCAAGAGAGGGAAAACCCCAGGTTCTTCCTTCCTGCAGCCCTCCTGGCCCTGGGCACTCCCTGCTCTGTGCCCCCATTCCTGGGCTCCAGATGCCACTTGTGGTCGTCTGTATGGCCTCCTCAGATCGTGAGCTACCTGAGTTCAGGATTTTGGTCATCTTAGATATTGGCCATCTGCTTCTGTTTAGGAAAAGGTGGCTGCCTGCCTGGGCCGGTGGGGGGTGTGGTGACAGATAGAATGTCCAAAGTCTCAGCTCCGTTTGTGTCCTACTAACCTCCACCTCGCCAGGGCAATGGTAAACCTTAGCTTAGTGGGTGACTCAGGGCCTCCTGGTGGTATCTGTAGCCATAGTAATGCCACCTAAGGAACAGCCTGGGCACCTCAGGGGTGTGACCACTTGTTCCCACCTGATCTGCCAGCAGGCCACTCAGACATGTCCTCAGGGTGCAGCCAAGGGGCACAGGTGGGAGTGATTAGTGCCAGCACTTTTGAAGCTGATGGTGGGTCAAACCCACTGATGTCCACCTGGGCAAAGAAAACCACCAGATAGGGTCAGAGTGGGACACCCCCAGAGGCACGTGGCAAAGGGTGTGGATGAGGGTGGGGTGCTGTCCAGCCTCCTGCAGGTGTGGAGGAAATGGTCCAGCAGAGAGGGTAGTGCAGGGGCGCCATCCGGGACCCAGTGGACACACTTCCCAGGAAGGCACTTTGGCAAGGGCAGCACAGGCCAGGCTGACACTGATTTCCTTGCAGATGCCGAGAGCAAAACACGCAGCCCCGATGGAGGCCCCGGACCTGCGCAGAGTGAGCCTGCCACGCCCACGCAGGAGGCTCTTGCTGCGGGAGACGCCCAGCCCGGGAGTCCCTTGGCTGCTGGCACAGACCAGGCCACCCTGGATGAGCCGCTGTCCTCAGCTGCCCATTTGGACGATGCAGGTACTGAAAAGAGTCTGTGCAGTATGGGGCTCATCCTGGGATGGCTGTCCACATGGGCAGCAGCTCAGGTCCCCAGCTGGGGCTCAGCGGGAGCTCTCGTGGACCTTGCTCTCAGGCAGCTATGCTGCAGGCCCCTGCTCCAAACCCTGCCATGCTGAGCCGCAGGGCCCAGCTACACGTTCTTCACCATCTCCTCCCAAGTCTGGCATGGCCAGTGGCTGATGGTGCTTAAAGATACTCATCTCCCGGGCCCACCTTCCTCCCAGGACCTCTTTGCCCTTTCACTGGGAACTTCTGGGCAGCAAAGTGCTCCCAGACGGTAAGCACCCAGGACGTGGGGTTCAGGGACCTTCCCAGTGGCCTAAATCAGCTGCTGAGTGGTGGTGATGGCTCCTTGTACTGCCCAGTCAGCTCTGCTTGTCTCAGCCCCATCTTCTCCCTGTGAAATGGGAAAGTGAGGCCCCTCCATAGGCGTGGCTAGAGGGTGGGAAGAGCCGCACTGCCGTGTAGGGTCAGGACATGGTGGGGAGACCCGCACTGCCGTGTGGGGTGAGGACTGGGTGGGGAGACCTGCACTGCCGTGTGGGGTGAGGACTGGGTGGGG